ATGTTGACATTTCAAAATAAAACTTACCAACGCTTAAACGTATCAAATGAAATTAATATGTCACTACTTTATCATACACACTACCATTCATTTACAGCTCCGTAATAGGCAGAAATTTTACATCATTTTACTTTCCTCCTTGAATTCCTTTGTTTTACTTCCATCTTAAGTTGGTATGTTTTTATCATTATATATTTCAAGCATTTTAGGGGCGCCTGGCTGGCTTAGTGGGTAGAGCATGTGACTGTTGATCACGGGGTTGTAAGTTCGAGCCCCACTTTGGGTACTGAGATTACTTAAAAATAAAATCTATTTTTAAAAAAAAGATTCAAATTCAAGCATTTTATTGATCAGCCTATCCTCCTTATCATAAACAAAAATATTTATATAAATTGGATTTTTTAAGCTTTTTATCAAAATGTAAAAATTTCTTCTAAATTGGGTTTTTGCATTAGAATATATAAATTAAAACAAATGTAACAATTTTTCATTAAAAATTAGTGAAAGAGATTTTTCTTTTTATGCTTACATACTGAAAATGACTGCCATTTAATGAAATAGATGGGATTTTCCCCATGCAGTCATGTATTTTTGGATCAATACTACAGGAATGAAAGTGTTCCTTATCATTTCTATTCCAGATCTTTTTTGTTTTTATAGTTGGTAAACATCAAGAAACCCCAGTAGTCTTTATGACAGCATATTAAAAATAATAGATATGCTTTCTTTGGAAATGGAAGATGTATTACAACAGTGTCACTCAGTTATTGCCATTCCTTTTTAAACTAAATGACCAAAAATCACATAGTAATGAATCATCAGGAATTATCTGTGATGAACATCAGCTATCAGTGTAATTTTACGAAAGCTAAAAATTTGGAATTTTTATTAGATACCAGCATGTCGTTTGCCTTCCTGCCTCCTCAGGTTTTTTCCCAGAGCCATGTACCACATTAAGATTTGGATGAGTAGGAAACATGCCTCTCTTTTATAAAATAGGAGGAGGATTGTGAAAGGAAGACCGGTGTGCCTCCTGAGAACCAGCCCAAAACCTTGGCCACAGAGGCATTCTCTGAAAGAATCAAGGTAGACATGAGGCACTGCAGTCAAGTCCCCTAAAGCTCCCTGTCCGCTCATCCTGTTTAGTTGGCTCAGGAATACACGTACCCAAGTTTGAAGACCACTGTTTATGTCAAACACCACCAGGCATATTTGCCTACTTATTTCCTCAGGATAAATTCCTAGTCAGTAGAATGATAGGTTAAAAAGTACGCACCTTCTGACAATGATGCCGGCAATGCCAACGGGATTGTTGACCACCCCAGAGAGTCCTGACTGCCTGCTTCCCAGACCCTCACTTCATGGGAATAGTCTTTTGCCCATTGGCTTGTATTCTCTGTTGAAGTCTCCTGTTTTTCACATGTTTTCATCTGTATTTCTTCATGTTTCTATCTATCTATTTTTTAATGAGGGTATTCATCTTTGTTTTTCTCTCTTTCCACATAGAAATCCATTCGTGCTTTGTCAAATGTGTTCTGTCCTTCACCACCACCACTCCAGTTTATCATTCTTTCAGCCTCATTTACGATTTGTTTTGCCATATAGACAGTTTGTTGCTTGTTTGTTTTAGTAGTTTCATCTAGCCAACTCTTAGGTGATTTCAAGTCATGCTTATAGAGTTTTATAAATTTCATGTTCTTCCCCCAGATTACATAAAAATTCATCCATGTTTGATTTCTAGTGGGTTTACTTTTTTACATGCACATTTTTATATGAAATTTCTTCAGGTATGATGAGATTTATTTTTTTATATAGGGGATGTAGTAATAAGACTATTAGTACTGTTCTTAGAAAAGAGTGGTTTCCTAACATGTTGGGAAAAATATATAGATACAAATAGAACTCATCTACTAGAGAACTGACATTTTTTTTCTTATTTTCTTCTCAATCTTTTTTCAATAAAAGATCATTAAGATGGTTGAAGTCTCCTTTGACTACCATCCCAGACCCATTCCTTCGTGTCCCCTCCACCCCAGAGGTATCTGTTATTATGAGTTCAGATGTTCTTCCAGTTCTTTTTTTAAACTTACATATGTATCCTTGGTGAATTTTTTAATTTGAATGATGTATTATACTGTATAATAAGAATGTTTTACACCCTTTCTCATATCTATTTAATGTAGTGATTTTGAAATTTATATATATTGCTATATAGAGATTTAGTTTTATTTTCTTTCCAGTATTCCATCTATGAATACAGAATATATTATCCATTACTAGCACATGAGCATTTAGATTGCATTTGGTTTTTTGCTATTATAAACAGTGCTGTAGTGAACATTCTTGTCTGAATCTCCTTGAGCATGTACGAGAGATTCTATAGTTTGTGTATCTAGAAGTCAACCTATTAAGTCATAGCATATGTGCATTTTCAACTTAGATTATCATCAGTTATTGGTTGAAATAATTGCCACTTCCGCCAGCAGTGTTTATTTTTGCAAATTTGATGGGTGAAAAATACCTTGGTGTTGTTCTAATGTATATTTTCTTGAGTCTGGTGATGCTGTTATATGTTTATTAGCCAGTTGGAGTTATTCTTCTGTGAATTCCCTGTTCATATCATTTGCCCATTTTACATGTTTGTTGACCAGTTGGAGTTCTGTAAAAATCCCTATTCCTCGTTTGCCTATTCTCCTGTTGCATTATCATTTCCTTAATTTGTAAGTGTTCTTCATTTTTTCCTGAATACTCCTTTATTATATACATTCCAGATATCTTCCTCCAGTATATCTTGTCTTTCAACTTGTGTCTGTTGCCACTCCAAAGTTTTAAATTTTGAGATAATCAAGGATGGATTTTCCATGGTTAGTTTTCATGGTCATGTAGCTCAATGATTTTAGGGTCATCTTTAAGAAATTCTTCCCTGAGTTCATAAAGCTACCCATCTATAGTTTCTTCCAATAGCTTTAAAACTTTATTTTTTTTCTGTTTAGATCTTTAACGCATCTGGATTGTAAAGTACGAGGTGTAGTGATCTAAACTTTTTGTCTCTGGAATGATAAGTCTATTCTCAATGCTTTGGGCAGTCCAGAATATCAAAGATTTGTTGCCTGTAGACCACTCAAGGCTCTAGGGTATAAATACCAAAGGAGAGTGCTTTGCTTCTTCCTGATATCACTCATTTTTCACTGTGAATTGACTATCTAGATGGTCTGCTTCAAAAAGGTTGCTTCTGGGGGGCATAAGTTTCTATTTGCATACTTAGTATGATTGCTTTAGTAAATGTGGACAGTTAAGCAAAATGAATAAAATAAAAGCCATTTATACTTCATTCTGGAGCATAACTACTATTTAGGTTTGAGAAATAAAGTCTTCCCATTTTTTCACATCAATGTACTAACAATGGCTAACATTTCCTGAGTACTTTGCTATGTGCCAGCTACTGTTCAGTTGCTTTACCTGCATCAGTGTATTTAATCTTCAGAATAACTCCAAGGGGGTAGGTGTAATAGCTCACATTTTACAGATGAGGAAAATGAGGCACCAAACATTTGACTGATGGGATTTTTCATTTGTTTGTTTTTAATTTTTAGTAGTTTTTTAAGTAGGCTCCATGCCCAGTGTGGAGCCCAGGGCAGGGCTTGAACTCACCACCCTGAGATCAAGACCTAAGCCGAAATCAAGAGTCAGACGCTTAACCAACTGAGCCACCCAGGTGCCCCTTTCATTAGTTTTATGAAAATACTATTTGTGTGGTTTTATAACCTACTTTTTATATTATTAATTATCCTTTTATGCAAATCTAGTATTCTGTTGTGTCCGTTATATACTTAGTCATTCATATCACAAGTTTTGAATGTTTAAGTTGTTTGCATACTTCAATTATTATAAGATTTCTATGAATATTCATTTAGCAAAATTCCAACCCACTTCTCTCCTTCTGATCTTCCTTCAACTTGGTGATCAAAAATTGTTTTAATTTGCATTTCTTTGATTACTCATTGATACTAAATGTTTTTTATATATACTCATGCTTTCTTTATCCTCTTCCATATATCGCTTTTTATTTTCCCAGCTGTATATTGGTGTTCATCTTTTCTCTATTGACTTGCTTTAGTACTAAGCATAGCAAGCCTTTCTCATAGGTGGAGGTGGTGTGCTTAGGTAACTTCCCCACCCCAAAATTTTATAAATATTCACTACTTCTTATACTTTGATGCTCTTATATTTAATTCTGTAATTCATTTGGAATTGGGTGGAGAGGAAGGGTATGTTGTGGGAAAGAAAACTAACTCTCCCCTCCCTCCCAAAATCACTTATTTGACACAGTACCAGTTATTGAACAATCTATACATCATCGGTTAGAAATGCAACCTTTATTATATACTACTTTCTGAAACATAATCACTTAGGAATTTCTCAGTTTTCTTGTTTCATTGATCGATTTGTTTACACTCCAGAACAAAACTTAGTAACTCTTCCGTAGTATGGTTTTAATTAGTAATCCACATTTCTGTCCTTTACCTGTAAATATAATAAATTTCCTATTTTTCATTTCTGTCAATAAGTTATTGCTAGAATGTCACCATTCACGGGTTCATATCTGCAAAGTAATGATACAAGATATTTATTTCTAACCAAAGAATTTGTTGCAATCTATTCTATGTGGTTGTAAGTGAGGACACTGATGTATGCAAAGCAGAGGTTTCAAAAAGTCCACCTGGCCCTCTGCACCAACATGGAAATAGTGATTAGAATGATGTCACTCTAGCAACCTGCCTGCATTTAGAAAGAATTTTGACTAGGTTTGTGTTTAATAGACCATGTTCCTTACATACCTTCTTTATATCTAGCCTTGCTTACTCAATTCAAAATAAGTGACCAATACCAGTGTGAAAAGTTTCTGTAAATAATTAATAATAAGAAATAATTTTATGGCTTTTGTGATAAAGTGAGGCTTGTTTTATTTATGTTGGGTTTTGTTTTTTCCCCCCCTCTAGGTAGCCTTTCCAGTAAATATATGACTCAGGGAAAAGCCTCAGCGAAGAGGACCCAGCAGGAATCATGAGGGAAGGAAAAAATGCAGCACTCTAAATGGCCACTCAGGCGTTCCTATTCACTTTGAAATTAGGTTCATTTCACAGGACACAGCAGCATAGATCAGGCTTCAACTTAACATTTAAGGGAAATGTCAGATTTTTTTTAACTTAATGAAATTGTTAATGAGGAAAAACAAATTTAATACAGTCTCACGTACCACAAATCCCCATAGATGTAAGGATTTTAAGAGAAAGCCATGATGTATGTATTTAAGCCAGGTTTTATTTTTTTTTTAAGCCAGGTTTAAAAAAAAAAAAAAAGTATAACTGTGGGCCAGTATTCAGTGAATACAATTTCATGGTTTTTAATTCTTTCAAAGCACACTGAAAGGGGTGTGCTGATAAACCCTGAGTAAATTAACCCGTTTTTTCACCTACAAATCCCTTTTTTGTTTTGAAGAGGGGAAATTATATTTATTGTTTACTGAATCCTTGTGTGAAAGCATATCAAATATGTGTGAACTGCTACTACTGTATTTACAATTTACAAACCTTATTTTATTGATATTTGTAGAAGTGACAACGCGAACATGAGTACCTATTTATGCGAGCCTTCCGTGGGTAAGCAGCACCACCAAGGGGCTCTGGGGTTTTTTCCCTCTCTAATTTTAAGTAAGTTGACATAGAATTCCTATACTCATAAAAATGAAGTAAGGAAAACAAGTAGTCCTGTTTGCTGCTAAAAACATTTTCAAAGGAAAAATGACAAAGTAGAAGTGCTTTTTACTTTTTATGATACTCAGAAATTAGGGTGGAGAACTTTTAAAAAATCCCTGAGGATTAAAGAGGCCATCTCTGCCAATCACAAATTTGGTTGGTGTCATTTTGGGTCTGACTGGAGCCCTCCTGGAACTGTTTCTCTAACTCCACAAGCCATCCAGAAGTAGTATGTGGTCAGAACTATGCCTTGGTTTATTTATCATTTTGAAATAAAATCAGAATTTCAACCTGTAATTTTATCCACATTACTTTCTAGCCAGAGTCCTAAATTTCATGAGGAAACCAGATGAAGGACTGAGGGCAGTACAGATCTGCTCTTTATCTCATGCTCCCTCTACTTGTGCTCATGGGATCTGCTGTTCATTGACCCCACTGTGTGCCAAGCACTGGAAAGGAATGCCCACAGGAGAGGTACAGGCTTGGTGGGATGAAGACAGAGAAGGATGGGGAGGGTGTTTGCTGGGCAAGCGTTCCCAGGTAGGAGAGGGCTCAGAAAATAACACCTGTGAGCCCTTCTTTTCACCTACTTGAAGACCTACTCCAGTTAAAGAAGAATCCTATCAAAATTACGTACAGATTTTGGGAAGTTGTGGTAGAAAGGATTAGTGATCGTTCCTTACTCAGTTTGGATGAACCCAAACTCCTCAATTAACCGCATGAATTATGTACCCTGGGCAGAAGCTGCTCTTCTGATTTCTCTTGCCTTCAGCATGAAAATGAACTTGACTGGGCACGTAATTCTTGTCACACTTTCTTTGGAAAGCCTATTAATGCTGTCTTCTGGCATGATAGCAGAAATCAGAGGCCTCCCTTGTAGATTTTATTTTTCTACTTGGATACTTCCGTGTTTACTTATCCCTGTAAGTTTTGTGTCCGTGACTTTTGTCTAAAACAAAAGCGAATCCCATGTATCTCCCTAGCCCAGTTTGGTTTTTTGGTTGTTGGTTTTTTTCAACTTGGGAAAGTATGTTCTTAAATTTTTTTTTTTTCCTCAAAAATACTTTTTTTTTCCCAGCATTTCTCTATCATCTTTTTCCTTCACCCTAGGAAAACTCAAATTTAATCTCTACATGACTAGCCGGATTTTTGATGTCATTTTGCTGTTTTCTGTCTCACATGAATTTTGTCATTTCACTTCTAATCGTCCTCAATGTACCTCAGCCACCTTCCCTTTTCCTCTCATTCAAGTTTATTGTTACTATCTTCCTTTTCATGGAAACCATGTTTCCTTATATCCTTTTAAGAATGTTAAAAAGCTTCCTATATTTTATTCCAATTCCTGTGGTAGATTTCAGTCCCTCACACTGATCAATGGGACAGTGACCAGTGTTTGCCAGACCTGGGGAATGGATGACCCTTGACTTGGGCACTGGTCACAGCCCCTTTTCAGCGCCCCAGCCAGGGGACAGGTGCATCTGCTCCATGCTGAGGCCAGCTTCCAGGGTGTAGTTATCGTTCAAATGCAGCTGGCCTGTCCCTCCGCAAGCTCCACAGATGCTCCACTAGCACAATTTCCTTTCCTCTTTCTCCCAGGAACAAACAAGAAAATGAAATCTATTCTTACAGCCCCAGTCTCCACTTTCTAATCCCTTGCTCAGTGTGTGCAGTATCAACAACGTGCACACTTGGTGATGTTACTAAAATGTTCTGACATAACTTCAGTTTACTTTTCATTTTCAAATGTGTTTCACAAATGGTTCTATTTAAAAAAAAAAAAATCTTTCCTGAGTGGAAAAAAATCCTGACTTAGACAGGTCAATAGGGTTCATGGTGTTACAGGCAAAAAAAAAAAAAAAAAATTGTTCAGAACAGAATTCAACAAACTCCCATAAAACTGTAAAGATGTGCTCAGTGTTTTTTTTCTTTGAAAGTAGGCATGTTTGGACAACAGCAGTCAAGAATTCAGCACACTTCCCTGGGTGGAATTCTAGACTTGATTCGGGTCTCTGGTTCTGTCAGTTTTCCTGCTGAGAGTGTGGCAATCCCCCTAACCTCATGGCAGTTCAGTTTCCGTGCCTATAAAATGGAAGTCACCCCTGCCCTTTCACAGAGTAGTGAGAAGCAAGTGAGGTCCTAACTAGGAAAAACACTTTTTTAAATGTCTAAGCCCTGAAACTAAGGCCCAGAGTGCAACACTGAACATTTCCCTATTTTAAGCTTTTAACCCATTGGTAGAAATCTAAATGTGGTTACAGCTTGCCAACTCCCTCAACAGTTACCACACCCACCTCATGACACCCTAGGACAGCTGCTGTCCTGAGATAAGGGAGCCCACATATTTCTTACACAATCATGAAAACCTAAGGCCAATTTATCTCGGGGACCTGCACCAGTTTCAGATAGTATTAGGTATGCCTGACCCACTAACAAGTAGATTATGTGACTTATCACTCACATGCAAAACAGCCAACCAAGTTAAAAACTGAGTAGTGTGTATTAAATAGATGAAAGAATTAAACATACACATGGCGGATCCTGAATCACGAAATTTAGGACTAGATTTTTAAAACGCACTTTTTTTCTAAAGCACTATACTAAAAGGCCAGAGTTTATGCATCATTTTTAAACTAGCCGTCCCAATACTCAGCCTAAAATTGTGAGGCTACCATGAGACAGTGTGCCCAAGGGTGCTTTTGAAAACTATACAGTGCTACATAACTACATAACAATATTTCAACAATTAAGAATGATACATGGCATCTTTTTTTTTTTTTTTTTTTTTTACATTTTATTAACACACTTTATTTCTTAGAGCAGTTTCAGGTTCACAACAAAATTGAATGGAAAGTGCAGAGTTTCGATATGCCCCTGTCCCCACCCAAGTCCAAATACTCCACTATCCACATCCTGCTCCAGGGTGGGGTATTTGTTACAACTGATGAACCTATGTGGACACAACATTATCCCCAAAATCCATTGTTTACATTAGGATTCATTCTTGGTGTGATATGTTCTATGGGTTTGGACAAATGTATAACAGCATGTATATCCACCATTGTAATATCAGTTTCACAATATATGACCTCTTTAAATATCCATGAACAACTAGCAACGTTTATTGAGTTGTAGTACTTAGCTAGGTGCCATACAGTCGTCTAAGGGCCTTTCATTTAATCTTCACAGTGTCTGTGGGAGGAAGGGCATGAGAAGTAAAACACCTTGTGCCAAATCACCCAGCTAGTCAGATGAAGCCAAGACAAACCCATCATACTACCATCTCCTAATCTCACCCTTTCTTTTGGGTTAAGCCGGGTTTAGAGGCAAAAATAACCATTCTCTTAGTGTCATGGAGTTGTATTTCAGTAGTAGGGAGACCCAACTACTTAAGGGGATTTTGAACTCTCCAATCCTGTAGGTTTTAGGGGATGAAACATAAACTGGGCTCTAAAACACACTTCACTGATCGTTCTTTCCACATTGAAACACTGAGCAAGAGTCTATCCTCCCCAGCACCACCCCACCGAACCTCCTTTTCCCTTTACCTCTAGCACCGCCACGAGAAAAGCCGCCTTTCCTTCGGTTCTCCTCCTCCCGACTGCTAACTTCATTCTTTCCTGGGCTCTCCATTTACCAGGCTACCTATGCATGCCTGGTATAATGCCTGGTGCTTAGGTGTATTTGCTGAATTAACAGGCAGAATTAAAAGGCAGAAGCCCCTGAGCAGCCACGACAAGGTCTGACAAACAACAGGTGTTCGATCAAGCTTATTCGACGGTTCACGCTATGAGTGTTGACAGAGCTGCCCAATCACATCCTCGGACTGTTTGGGTTCCAAAGTCGGCACCTAAAAGCGAAACTTACATTAGCACCATCCCCCAGTATCCCTTGCAGTAGAGCATGTGGTGAGGCGGGGGTCCGGGGGTGTCTGAGCTGTTTATTTCACGAAAATGCGGTAAGTCTATGCTCTTTAAGAACTGCCTAGCTCGACCAAAAAGGAAGACAAATGTATGTACCTGGGCCTCGGAATCTTTCTGCTTTGGAGAGCACCAGCTCTCGTGCTCAGCGTTCTTATGCAGTGACGCCGCACCCTTCCCAGGGACAGGTCGTGGAGCGACACGCCTCCAGAGTCCACAAGTCCGCAGTCACTCCACGTGCCCAAACCCCACTCCCCACGACGCGCGGAGGTAGTCCTCGCGCAGACGACCTTGCGCCTCCCTCCCCCACGCACCTCCAAAGCCCCGGGCCATTGCGCCCCCGCGTCACGTGCCTACGGCCCTAGCGCCGCGCCGCGCCCCGCCCTCCGCCCGTCACTCACGCGGCCCGACCAATGGCAGCGGCGGGGGCGGGCCCGCGCGGGGCGGGGCCTGGGCGCCGTGCGCCGGAGCCTGTGGCGTCAATTCGGCCGCCGTGTCCATGGAGAGTGGCTGAGGTGGCCGAGCTCCGGCCCGAGGCACCGGGGCTCCGGGACGGCGAGGATGTCGGCTTCTTTAGTCCGGGCCACTGTCCGGGCTGTGAGCAAGAGGAAGCTGCAGCCCACCCGGGCCGCCCTCACCCTGGTGAGTGGCCGGGGCGCGCGGTCGGACGGGTGACATTGGTTCACCTCCGCCCCCTCGAGGAGGTCACGGCGGCAGGGCGCTGGGCCCGCTCCGCGGCCGCTACGTCGCCGCCCTGTCCTCCTCGCCCCGGCTGGGAGATAAACAAGCGCGGGCGGGGCTCCTCCGCCGGAGCCGGACGCCCCGGGAACTACGTTTCCCAGCAGGCCGTGCGCCGCTGCGTGCGGGGGTGGGGGTCGCCGCGTGTGCGCGAATCCCCGAGCGGGCGAGGCGGCCCGCTGCGAGCCTGGGGGTGCGACTGTGCTCGAGTCGCGGGCCTTTCAGAGTTCGGCGTGCGGGAAGCTGGGGGAGGGAACCGGGACCCCTGCCCTCGAGGTGCGCGGGGAGGGCGGAAGCTCGCCGGGGTACGACGGGGCGAGCGTGGCCAGCGACGTGAGAGCGCAGCCTCAACAAAGCCCACCCCTCGCTGAGATCAAGGCTGTAGTGCACAAAGGGTTCCTTCCTGGGGTCTGGGAGGGAAGGCTTTTTGAAACACCCTCTGTCCCTCCAGCGGGCCTCGGCCGTGGTCGGCCCTCACAAAGGACAAGGAAGGATAAAAGTCTCTACCGTGAGTGAGCGTTGGGCGTTTTCTGGGTGAAAGGTCCAACACACCGGGAGGGCACCAGAGTCCCTGCCGCAGATGCTCACCGCGGGATTTACCACGCAGACGGGATCCCTGGTGTACAGTGCAGTCGCTTTGTTTTTTTTCTTTTAACAGAGGGAAAACTCACATAACATAAAATGAACCACTCTCAAATGTACCATTCAGTGGCATTTAGTACATTCACAATGTTGTGCCACCATCACCTCTATCTAGTTCCAAAATACTCCAAGAAAACTCAGTATCCGTTAGACAGTCACTTGTGTTTTGAAAGAGTTGGGTTTCATGGGAAAGCTTATGAATCAGGTCAGCATTCTTCTCACTCCACTCTTGTGCAAGCATTCAGCACCTGGAGAGTGGGAATTAGAATGAATCACGGATTCCATTCAAGCTAATGCTATAAGAAGACCTGTTGTCAGAAAATCAGTTGTACCAAAATAGAAGAAAGTTGTGATCAGGTGGGAGAACTCATTTTTATAATGGATCAATGTTTCCAGCCTGTACAGAGGTTATCCCGATTATTCTATATTACTGTTTTCTGTACCACAAAGCAGGTTTCATGTCTGGAAGATACCATCATCAGATCTTAGAATTCTCCAAGGTCTTGAAATCACAAGAACTAAAGGGCATGAGTCATACTTTGTGTCTTTCAGTCTCAATTAAAAAATATTCAGAACTGAAAAGAATTCTACCACTGGTAATGGTAGAGCGAGAAAGAAGAGGTACAGAGAAGCTTTTTGGCCTTTTCTCTGTCCATCATCTAGCATATTACCTGCTTGTTCAGAATCTCTGAGTCATTCCTTTCCTCTCCATTCCTTGTCATTCAGTTGACATTTAAGACCTCCTGTGTTTCAGGACAAGAAATAAATTGAGTTACACAGTTCCCACCCTCCAGGGACACCGTTGTGGGCCAGACCTTTGCCACCCCTAGAATTACAGCTCGCATTCTCAGACTTCAGCTCTCTACACTTGCTCCTGCCTCATGACCTGTTACTGGGCTAATTCTGCTCACAGAATTCGGTCAGTTCTTTATCTTGTCAATTCTTAGTTCACAGGGGCTCCATGTTGCCTTTGATCAAGTGTTCTGATTAACTTGCCAAAGTCCATTGTGTGAATTTAGCCTGTTTAACTGTCTAGCTAACTTTAGAAGTTCCTTTCCCTGTAGTCTTAGCTGGTGCCAGAGATAAAGCAGGTCCTCGCTGCTTTCCACCCACGGCCTGCATAGCAGGCTTGCAGTCATTTTAATCCTAGCATATGTTCCCTAGTCTCAGGACACTGGCATGCGTGAATTGCTGTCTGTTCTTAGTTTTTGGGTGTTTTTGCAAACATTGTAAATCCCAGCATGTTCTGTCGAGTGCAAAAGGAGGTGATCAAAGGGCTAATGAGTGAATACAGATGAAAGCAGATGAAACTAAAGATGATTGAACAAAATGGGTAGGAAGAGATCAGTGTTACCTAGATATATGAACTTGACATCAGGAGTTTGACATGGTGCAAACTTGTCTAAGTGCTGTACCTGTGTAGCCTACCAGAGGTCATCAAAAGGCTAGGAAAAGGAAAAGGAATTGATGAAATGAAAACATGGTTCCATGCTGTCAGCGCCCAGTTATCCACATTAACTGTCGTTAATCCAGGAGAGGACTGGTGGTTTGCTGGAACAGAAGGTTTAGTCTGGTGACAAGGCTGCCCTTAACACTTTTATGCAACCAGAGATGGTTCTTTGATTGAATGTTTTAAGACTCCACCCACCACCTCAAAGTAAGTAACTTTGGACACCTGTGGAGAACTTCCAAAGAGGATGGTGTCCCTACTCTGCATACCCAGGAGTTGGCAAAAGAAACTGAATTTGTAGGAGCCAGAGTAAAATATGATGAAAGCCTGAAGATTTAACACTGCCCTCCTGGCAGAGGCTTTTATTTCCATCGTTCTACAAATCAGAATTAGTGCAACTATAATTTAGGATTAGGGACGTACCTATAGCTGTTCATAAAGCGCAACCAAAGTTGTAAGAGAATGATGGTACATAGCCAGCATCATTCTTCATGCACAGAGGGAAGTTAATTCATTATGTGCAGTGGGTGCTTTAATACTTCTAGTGGCACCTGGTTGAGAAGGACAAGGAAACATGTTACTTGAGCCCCAGTAAGGAGCTGTTAATTCATTGAAGGACAAGTAACAGAAGTCCTTTCGAACAATGACCAAGCAGTAATTTGTATAGTTAGGCAATTTAAGGGATATTCTCCAGGAAACAATTGGAAGTAGCCTAAATGTATAACAATGACAGGTTAAACGAGTAGATCCAGTTGGTGAACTATTATGTAGTCACTGTAAATAATGTGTTTTTTTAAGTTTGGGAGTCATAACTCCATTCTTTACTATCCCTGTGTCAATTATTTAATCTTTAATACTTAAATCACAGGATTATAAGAATAAGATGATGCATATAAACCACTAAGCACCTGGAAGGTACTCAGTAAATGGTTAATATGTTTATTACTATGTATTGCATGGGAAACTTGTTAAACTGTTTAAAATGTAGGCCACAAAATATACACACACACAGATGAATAGGAAAAGACAAAAGGGGAAACACCATAATGCCATAATGAGTTAAAATATACTGCAACTTGTTCATTGGCTGCTATTTATCTACCATCTTTTAAACATTAAAACGCCACATTTATAATGAAAATGAAAATAGGTTGTAGTTGTTGGCACATGTTTAGTATACATAGTCATGGAGTTAGCTTTGGTTTTAATTTGTTTTCTTGGACAGCAAAATATTAAAATTGCCTGGGGAATTACCTAAGGAAATACAGTGTTGAGGATGAAAAGCTTCTGATACAAAAATGGACTAAAAATCTTTTTTAAGGGCCTTTTGTCTTGTTCTGTGATCTACCTCTGAGTAGATTAAAAACCATCGTTATATTTCATTGAGTTTCAGGAATCTTAAACTTTAATTCATTGGCCAAATCTCAGGTGAATAAGTCATTAATTCTACATACATTTCTTAGAAAAGTATAGGTGTCTTAATTGTTTGAGGGGAGTGCGTGGAAATTGGAAGGCTACCAGGCCCGCAGCCTGTTGTTTAGTTGTGAAGTTTTCAGACTATTTGCCAGATTGAGTGTACTTACGCAGAGTTGCCAGAGCCTGCAAATAGATGTGAGCCCATAGGATCCTCAGCTTCTGCCTGGTCCTGAGATACAGAAAGTATTTTTTATAGCTAGCATTTTTTTTCACGTGCCACATGTTCCCTAATTTTAGCCATTCTGACTTGTTCTGAAAAGCAGTCCCTCACTTAGAAAGTTAAAAGATCCCTATCTTTCCCCTTAAGTAAGTACGCCACTGGGTTTCCATCATTAATAACACTCCTCCCAATGCAGTATGTTTGGTTTTGGCCTGACACAGGAAAATTAAGAAAGACTCATTTTGGTTCCTATAATGACAGTTCCCAGGCACACAGGTTACTTTTCCCTTAACAGTGTAGGAGTGTGAAGTCGACCGCTTCGGGATAGGTGGACCACTCCATGAAGTGTTTTTGTGTACTCTGTGTAAGTGTTTTCTACTAAGAGTTGGGAAAAGAAGAAGAAACATTATTTTGTAAAATCAAATTCGGTAATTTAATAATCACGTGGAGATAAAAACACGTGAGGCTATTGACAGAGTAGTGTGTACACCCTGTCTTCCTTGTTTTGGTCATGCAGCCGTAACCCTCCTCACCTTTGACTCTCCAGCATTACAGGGCAAGTTGTACTTGCAATAAATATTTCCCATGGTTGTGCCTTTTTTTTTTTTTTTAACTTATCAGAAATCCTTTGCTCTTTGACAGTAATTAGATTAATTTCTTCAGGACTCAATGTGGGAAATAAGACCATGAGAATAACAGAAGCTAGTTTTTACTGGCAATTGTTTAGAAGGGTAAATGAGCATTTTTAAACATTTTTTTCAGAAATATTCCTGTAACTATTTGAGGTTGACATGCTGTGATCTCAAAAGAAGAAAAAAAAACCAAAACGATAATTCTGCTCT